TAGCGCGTTTGGGCGCTTGGTCGTGTAAGTCATAGATCAGGAGCTTCGAACTATTTCCAGGTCCTGAAGACGACGATTCAGTCGAAACGTTGACCAATAAAGCGGTTCAGCCATAACAAACCTGTACGGCAAAGCAGTATTAAACATTATGTAAAATGCCCAGGTTTCAACAAGACCGAACATGGAAGTTCTAAGAGTACTATTCCTAGGTTTCGGCGTCATGCTCGGGCACTTTTTTATGGAACCTGCAACAATCAACTACCCATTCGAGAAAGGGCCTCTTAGCTCTCGCTTCAGGTATTTTCCATATTTTCTTTTTAATGGCAGTATCGGCGTATTCAACCGTACCCCTTCTATTCCAATTTGTTCCACTGAGAAGTTGTTTTAGAGGAGAGCATTCTCTTCGTCGTTATCCATCAGGGGAAGAGCGCTGCATTGCGTGTAAGCTGTGTGAAGCCATCTGTCCTGCACAGGTTCGTGACGAAAACATGATGTTTTGTTGTTCATAGGTTTCATTCAGAGGTTTCATGATGTTATAAATGTTCAGGCGATTACAATCGAGGCAGAACCTCGTCCCGATGGCAGCCGACGGGCTGTGAGATATGATCTCGACAATAATAAGTAAGCGAATTTCATTTGCTGCGGTTAGGGCTCCAGTATAACTTGTAAAGGAGACGCCATGTTCGACTCTCATTGGACCTCGGCATAGATCCAAGGCAACTTTATTTTATTGAACAGAACACGAGGTTAAGTATTACTTATTAGTCAGCTGACACTTCGGCGATTTTCGCCTTCTTTGGAGCATAAAAAAGACTGTGATTTATACGACCAAATGATTTACTCACCCCCACGGGACCTTCGAAACCAGTTAAGTCATCACGTAATTAATAGTGAAATAAAGGCCGTACCTTCCAGATTAGCAAAGTCAGCCCACCAGGACAGTAGTAGCATATACCGGGCTGATCAGAGTTCACGGTTTCGACCGGAATGCTAACCGGATATCCTTCCCAGTAACCTAAAATACCGTCTCGCTCTATGACCGCACATGCGCGACCGAGAATTTTGTGGACTGTCCTAATGGCACTGAAGGAGGCTGTGCCATCGCAGGTGTGGTCTACAGGATGTGTCTCAATAACGCGGGAATTGACCCCCTATACAAGGGTAGCGTTCCGGTCGGAACCGTGAAATCTGATCAGCCTGGTATACGCTACTTTTGTCGTCCTGGTGGGCTGACTCTGCTGATCTGGAAGGTACAGTTTTTATCTAACCATTAATTACGTGATAACATAACTGTTTCGAAGGTCCCGTGGGGGTGAGACATTTGGTCGAATAAGTCATAGACTGGTTTCCAAATTTTTTTTAGGCTCCGAGGAAGGCGACAATCGCCGAAACGTCAGCCGACTTATTTGTAATTCTGAACCCCGTGTTCTCTTGATTGAAATAAAGTTGTATTGTACGGGAGAAGGATTTGGTCGGGCTCCAACCTCACTGCGCACTCCATCCTGGCTAGCTACAGCTGTTTTCCGCGAGTGTTGAGAAGATGTGGCTGATTTGGCTGTCGGTTGATGGGTGGCCCTTAGTATAGTTAACCACAAATGATGAGTAAAGCATGATGAACAAAAGAATCTCTCGAAGTACTCTCAAAAAATCTCTCTAAATATGAAAGGCCTCAACCTTATGTGTCTATTACATGTCGTTTATGTGTCACCCGCAAGAAAACGTAAATCATTTGTGTGTCCGTGGAACACAGGAGAAGTTGCTCAGTGGGAACTCCTACCGAGCGATGCTACCTTCAATGGGGAATTTTATTCCGCATAGCTCATCTGCGTGGTTATCAAGTTGAAGGTTAAACGAGATCGAGTGCACTCCTTCAAGGCAAAGTTTGTCCCACCCTCCACTGCTAGATAGATTAAGTAAAAATCAGAGGCATTTGGCTGGATGATTTGTCCTCATCCACCCTATAGTCCTGAACTTGATCCAACGGATCACCACAATTCACGCTTTCTAGCCCGTTTCTAAAGGAAACAAGCAAGACAATCAAACTATGTAGGAGAAGTATCTAACAAGAACAATACGCAAGCGTTGACACTATGCTGTAGATAAAAATGACGCATATAAGGCGGAATAAATTGGCGTAAAGAAGAACAAAAGTGTTTATGTAAATAAACAAAAAGTACCCAAAGTGGTGCGGAAATCTTGTGTCATCCTGATAGAAGCAATTCACCTTCGTGAGAAGAAGTAATCATCTCGAAGTGAAGGAAAAAGGACATTTGTGCCAATACAAAATGAAGTATAGCACTTCCTACTATTCGTTTAGTTTCTGTCAATCGTCTTGTTGCTATCCTTGTCTTTGAGGTGCATCTACTGTGGACTATGCCAGGAAGCTTGTCCTGTCGATGCCATCGTTGAGAGTCCAAATTTTGAATTTTCGGTCGAGACTCATGAGGAGCTGATATATAACAAGGTTAGTTACTACTTCTTTATAGTAAGGATGGTTCATGAAAAGTCGTAATATTTCAGGAAAAGCTTCTTACAAATGGCGACCGCTGGGAACCTGAGCTGGCAGCTAATATACAGGCAGAGTACTTATACCGGTGAACTAAAGAGAATCAACTCAAAGTTTGACTTTCAGTTCTGGAACATGTTCTGACATAGTTCATTCATAAGTTGGTTGTAAACCGTAGTCATGTGTTTCAATGAATCGTTCATAATTTGTGAGATCGTCCGTTTCATTTTACGATTTTTGGGAATTTATCGCTTGGAGAATACTTGTCGTTTCCATCATAAAACTATTAGAAAAATTGTGTAGGATTGTTATGAGCAGCAGAAAGCCGTGAACTCAGAAAATAGAAGGCTGAAACGTAACACTATTAGAGGAACTTCTCAAGGCGTAGAGGAAGATTTGAATGGCTCTGTTGGTTTGATGCGACTATGCAGTTAATTACTTACAAGTCGGCTTGCCCGGCTGACGCCGGGCTCCCCTTCTACTCGTGTTGAAATGGCCTCCTCGCCTACACATTCTTCAAATTTGGAGCCTTCCAACTAGGTACAAACACCCAACGCCCCGTCCGCCATGAACAGACCTCCATGGGTTTTGTGTGTTTGAGTAACTCGATTTATTTGCGACTTAAACATCCTTGGTTTCAAAATTCCGCCTAAAGACTACGTTACCATCTTTTCGCTCACGCCTCGCCTCCTGTGAGCGGAGTTATGTATGTCCTGCCGCCCGCATAGGTGCTTCCATCCTGCCGCCTGTATTTCTATCGAGTATGAGCGCTGCCTGCCCTCATATCAAATTTGAACGCTCTAGATCCAAGTTTGAATTTTTCACACAACCCCGCCCTTATTTGCGAAATTCGGTCCTGCCACGCATCATGAGTGTTCCCATCCTGCCGTCTGGTACTCCTACCAAATTTGAACGCTGTAGGTCCAAGTTTAAGCTTTTTCGACAAAACCCGCCCTTTGTCCAGTTCTGCCGCCCACCATAAGTGCGTCCATCCTGCCGCTTGTACTCCTACCATGTTTGAACTTTCTAGTCCACGGGGACACTAGTTATGAATTCCTGCCCGAACCTCGCCCATTGTGGGCGGAGTCCAATCCTGCCACCCATAGTAAGCGTTCCCATCTTATCTGATGTAATCCTACCAAATTTAGACTCCTAGGTCTATGGGGACTGGAGTTATGACTTCTCGCACAAACCCCGCCCCCTGTTGGAGTACAGGCAGTAGGATTGGAACACTTACGGGCGGAGGCCGGCCCCGCCACAAATCGTAAGTGTTCCAATCCTACCGCCTGTACTCCTACCAAGTTTGAGCGCTTAGGTCCACGGGAGCAGAAGTTATAACTCTCCGCTCAAGCATTTATTTCATGAGCATGAGTTTCCCTTCAAACATTTATTTCGCGTAAAACCCCGCCTTCTGTAGGTGGAGTCCGCTCCCCGCACACACAGACAAACCAACCGACACACTTAGCGCGTTATATATAGTAGGATTGTTTCTAATCGGTTTCTTGATGAAATCGGAACACTACAGTACTACTCCACGTATACGATGTTGCATCCAGCTAAGAACCGAAACCGAAAAATTCAAAAGAGATTGACATTAACTAGCAAGCTTGAACGGCGAGAGGAGTAACCGACTGTTGGCAACGGAAATTACAGGCAGAGGCAATAATACTAGCGGCTTTTTCCTGTCGACTTCGGCTCCGGTCGATATCCCCAAATAGCACGCTCAAGCAAAAGACACCCTAATTACTAGACTCTTGCGTACATTAGTGAAGAACATACGTTTCATTTTTCCTTTCCAAGAAAGCTATTCCTTTTTTCTTCTAAGTCACCTTCCTGAAATATAACCTTTCAAAACCCTCCTACTTAAATCGCCCCTTCATCCGCTCGCTGTTTGTGCGAAATACCGATGGGAGTCCGACACTGCCGTTGACGTCCACGTAAAAACGCCGACGTCGACGTCACACTATGAATGTCCTCACTGGGAGTAGTATGTGTAGATGGACTTTTGCCTTGCCCAGAAATACGAACATTGGGATTCCATGAAGGGAGCTAGTCAAAGTGGCCGTTTTGTAGAGTAGTTACAATTTTTTTTTTCGGTTTAAAACGCACAAAGGTCGTAACGCCACTTGCTCATGACAACTGGTAGAGAGAAACTTGTAAAATGATTCACTTACCTGCAGCATTATATTTTGCAGTGACAAATAAGGATCTGCTTGCAGGAGAAGCAGGCTGGTAATAGCATGACGCCTGCCTCCTGACGAGTTCACTAATATGGTGGTGAATTTTCGTTAAATAAATGCACCACCACAATGAGCTGGTCGAGCTAACCTGCACTTTGTGCATACCTGCGCCACAGTGTTAAAACCGCCGCTCACCCTGCCGCGCACTTCACTAGTAACTGAGAAAACGAAAATAACCTCTAGCTAAGAAACGCATTACCGCTGGACCCCGTTTATTAAGAACGTTGGTCGCTCGGAGGAGCTTGCTGACAAGGTTACAAGGTCGCTTCTGGGGCTTTGAGGATCCACCAGAAGAACTTAAACAACATAATCAGACAAACCCTACGTGTGAGCTGTTGCGTCGCGGTTTCGCGCTATAGCACGTTATTTCAGGGTGTCTTGGCACTGCGAGAAGACCTTGATGACAGAAGGTTTCCTCTTTCATAACTCTACTTATTGGAGGTTGCGTAATGCGTTCAAACAAGTCATTCTGAGGTGATTACTAATTGTAGGAAGTAACTTTCTACTACTAATGGACTGTTAAACTACAGTTTGGTGATGTATGTCTCTTTTCCTGCATATTTCCTCGTTCATGCTTCTTCCAAGAACATTGATGGGTAGTCAACCCACCCTAGTTAATGGCTAGAGAACACTGGTATGTATTTCTTCTTCTAGTGCAGGTTTCTTGGTCTCTGTTTCTTCTGAGATAACTGCCGAGTAATGACTTTCACTGGTAGAGTGTTGAAACCTTATTCAGGGGTATGCCAACGTATGAACGATTGATTGATACAACTCATCCGATCGAAAGAGGCTATGGATGACGACATTGAAGCCAAAGAGAGGTCTCAATGGCCCGTATGCACAACTCCNGCGAGGCGATCTTAATCAGGGTGGAAAGTCCATGATCACTTCGCTGCTCGCATATCGATATGCAGCAAGTGAAAGTTATTGAATGAGTAGAATAACAGCAGTGAAAAACAAAGCTTCAATAAAAAAGTTAGGTTTCTCAGCACAAAACTTCCCATTATCACTTGCCAAGAGTGTTGATTTTGTGCAAATAAAAAAAAAACCAGTAAAGTCGCGGTTCATAGCTCTATAAAATACTCCGCTTAGTTTCGCATTTTACCTTTCACCTGTGCACAAAAACAGAATTCCTACCCAGCATTATTAAAACTTTTTCAGTTCACAGTTTTCCTCAAGATCCTTTACCTTCTTACTGTTGCCATTTTCTTCAATTTTTCATCATTCACTCCCTTGATAAAGATATGCAGACAGCACTATGAAAATGTAGTCTTCACACCTAATCAGGATTGGTCTTTCATTGTACAAAAGTTGACATGCCCCTAAATCAGGGTTCAACACTATCAATGAAGGTCGTTACTCTACAGTTGTCTCTGAAGAAACACAAACCAAGAAGCATGAAGTAAAAATAGAAGCACATGACAGTGCTCACTAGCCATTCACTCGGGGAGGGTAACTACCCATCAATGGTATTGGAAGAAGCATGAACGAGGAAACATGCAGGAAAAGAGACATACATTACCAAAGTGTAATTTAACAGTCCATTAGTAGTAGAATGTTACTTCCTACAATTAGTAATCACCTCAGAATGACTTGTTTGAACGCATTACGCAACCCCCAATAAGTAGAGTTATGAAAAAGGAAATCTTCTGTCATCAAGGCCTTCTCGCAGCGCCAAGACACCCCAAAATAGCATGCTATAGCGCGAAACCGCGACGCAACCGCTCACACGTAGGGTTTGTCTGATTATGTTGTTTAGGTTCTTCTGGATCCACCGACTTACATTTTTCCAACCGACCGGTCGACGCCACGCGTTCACAATGCAGGACAGACTCGCAGCCAAATCTGGTTACAGGAATGGCTATTTCATAGTCCGCGATCCGGCCCGCGAGCGAGCGAGTGATCTGGCGAGCCAGCGACCGGGGGACTACTCGTCCGGCGGTATCAAACAAGATTCAGCTGTAAGGAAGAGGCAAGCGCCGCCCCCGGCCGCTTGCTCGCGGGCCGAATCGCGGACTATGAAGCAGCCACTGTTGTCAACCAAAATTTCTCTCGTCAGATTGCGATCAAATTTTTAGTGCTGAATGAGCTAAATAGCATCAGCAAATTTTTAGATGGCAGAATAGGCTGTGTAATCAAAACTTGATATTCTGTGGTGGTTCTGAAATAAGAATGTGTTACTGAGTATACCCCTGTAAAGACACCCATTAAAGGCACAGTTCACAATAAAAATATCTCCGAGATTTCCCCATAGGATGAATTTGGGGCCCCCTCGTATATCATATCTGGCGCTATCTGGTCGGAGAACGGCCTAGTTAGGGCGTTATAAAGATCGTCCCGTGTGTTCATCGAACGAGTTTCACCGGCACTGTAGAGGTTGCACCATTAACAAGGGAATCCATGCAGGAGGCTCAAGCATTGTCATGACCCATAGCGACAGTGAATGGCAGCTCTGTACAGTTGTGATGTAGTCAGCTCTTTGCGCAATTGCAACGACTGAAATCTCCTTCAAATAACCTTTCCATGTTACTTACGGTAATCTCGTCTTTTGAGGAGCCTTATTTTACTCGAAAATGGCGGAATTTCTCGCTTTTTTTACTACCGATGAATTACTACCAACCTGTACTTCCTCTTTTTGAAAAAGGGGTACCTTAAAATTATCGCAAACTGTGCCTTTAACACCTTTAACATATTGTGGTTCCACGCTATTCACGTGCGTTGCGGTATGGCTGCTTTCATAGTCCGCCTCCACGCCGGCGTGCCGGCGTGGAGGCAGTGCTAGCGGGGAGGAGGGAGGCAGACGGATAGGCAAACAGTCCACGCCCCTTCGAGGGGTTGAAAACAATGAACCT